TGTAGCGTGGGGCTGGATGGGAGCGGTTGTCCAGCCGGCAGCCGCGTTGTAGCAGGAAGGGGTAAGGCTGCAGGTGTTGGAGACCCCTCAGCTGGGCACCCACCCTGCCTTCTCGGAAGCGCTTTGGGAGCAAGAGAGAGATCCTGTCACACGCTCAGGGAGCCAAATACAGTACTTGTGTCAGCAAAATGAAGCAGTTCTGAGGTTCAGTCTGGGAGGAAAGCAGAAATAGCCCTCATTTAGTATGAGGCCACAGAAATAGCATTGTCCCTTCTGAGGAAAGCCAGGGGCAGCGAGGTCTCTGAGATGGAGAAAGGACGGACACTTCTGAGATTAAAAGGCCATTCAGCAAAGAAAGAGCAAGGAAGGACCTAGTGCCACAGAGAAAGGGCACACGGCCCTTCCAGCCCCTGCGTAAAGCTGCCAGAGCAGGCAGGGGACCCAGGGCCAGCTGGCTCCCCAGACACCGTGGGGGCTGGACTGGGCTCCTGGGCAGCTCCACCTTAACTCATCCTGTCTCCATTCCTTCCCAAAGCAGAAGAGATTTACTGGAGCAAGAAATGCACAGAGACAAGGCAGCATTGTTCCTCCAGCCCACTCTGCAACTCTCCCGGCAGCGCATCAGCATCTCAAAATGTGCCATGCGAGGATCTTTGTTATTGGCTTGGGTTGCAGATGTGTAGCTTATTGCCAGCTCAAGTGAGTGAGCCTGATCAGAAGCTGATGTGCCACCAGAAAGAACCATAAGTGGGAGGGTGGGAGGAAGAGGAATCAGCTGGAGACAGGGGTGCAAGAATGCCCACGGCTAAAAATGAACCTTGGGGCTTCTGGATACAAGGCTGGACTGGGATGGTCAAGGCTTCTCTAAAAGATCAAACTAGGGCTGGAATAAACTGCCCTATCACCCTCCCAGAACAATCCTTTTTCTGAGGCATCATCATTTTCATTCTGTATGCAGGCAGAGAGATCTTCAACGCCACATTTCCAGGGTAGAAAATATGGGACAGAGAGGGAATCGAGAATCTGGGGGGGTGGAGAATACTCCTTCAATTCTGCCAGCCTCAAATTAGAGGGGAAACTATGTCTTCAGCAGCAAAACAATGTGGCTGTGGAGCTGTGGGTGCAGTGCTTACACTTGCAATTAGACTAGAAAGGGCAATAAGGCTTGGTCAACAAGAAAGCCACAGAAGCACCGGGTTTAAAGCTCTTCTGGAGAGGGAAATGTGGCCCTGAATCTCAAAGTATCCAAGTACACAGGAGGGAAGAAAGCAGCACTGGGGAATGACAGCTCATCCATGCCCATACTCCTGCTGGGATGAGCAACACTGTGGGCAAGATCAGGTTTGGCAGGCAGAAACGTCAGCATGGGAAAATCTGAGGCTCTCCTTGACATGAAGCACCCCAAAGAGCCCACCACGCAGGATGAACTGGATGTACCTGGAAGACAGGCAGATGGGATGGCAAGCAAGGCAGGGAGCCCCTGAGCACCAGACACACCTCGCAACAGGTTGTGATGGGGAGCTGAACTCCCACATTCTGGATTGCACTTGATCATCAGCACCTACTGAAGGACCCACCTCCTGGCTGCTGCCCGCCAGCCTGGGGAAGCTCTGTGGGTCGTGGGAAGGGGTGGTCCCCTATTAGTCCAACAGGCAGGGCAGTCTGTGGGGGAAGGCAAGCAAAGCACCCTTTTTGAAGGGCTTTTGGGCTCATTTTGGTCCTCTGTGCCTTGCATAGTATTCTTCAGCTACTGAAGCAAAACACCTCTTGTTGTTTGGTTGCAGTACTGCAGGGGAGAAGCCTGCATAGTGTCCTGGGTCAGCACAGAGAGGACCTGTTACGTGTGTGTGTTTATTTTTCTACTTTTTTTTTTCTTTCCACCAGGAGGATGTTGAAGTTAACACTTGTCATCACAGAGCAGGGAAGGACCATAGGGTGGTCCGTGGCATTGTGGGGAAGCAAGGCACAGCTCTTAACCAGAGCACAACGCCCGTGCCTGCACGTGCACGCGGAGCTACAGGGACCCCGTACTCAGCAATCATTCCTCCTTTTTGCCATGTTCCCTATGGCTCTGGAACACACCTGGACCAAGCAACATGACCTACATTAAACCGTGACACTGAGCCCCAGTGAAAGGTAAGCACTTCTGAGCATCCAGATTTCCTTCATTGGTACCACACTTCATTTCTCTCCCTGGCTACTGCCATATCTCTTTTAAATTCCTCATACAGTTGGCAAAAATATCTATCAAGGTCCATCTCTCCAGCACAGAGAACCATGGTAGCCACAGTATGCCACGAAGCCTGGGGAGGAGGGTGGGTGGGGGTAGCACATGGATAGGGAGGGGAGGCCGAGCTGCTTCCTCCCCACTGCTGCCATCAGGCACCAGCTGGGACATGTGGGATCTCAATTATTATCTTAGTTTTTAAAGCCAGCCTCACAGAAAACTATAAATTAATCTGCTAATTAAATACTCAGGTGAGAGACCAGGGAACATCCCGCTGTGCAAGCAGGAGTGGCTATGGCTTCTTCCGCAGGTAATTGGAAGGGATCCAGCCCTCCCAGCACGGCCCCCCAGTCAGAACCTTGCAAAACCACCAGCCGCTGCTGTTCTTCTCGCGAACCTCAAACAAAGTCCCTTCTTTAAAGCTGTTGGTCTCCTCGTCACCTTCAAAATCCGCCACTGCCACGTAGAGAGCTTCCCTGGCGATGTCTGGGCTGGAGATAGGGGCTGGGCTCCTCTCCTTGGCTTCCGCTCTCTCCGCTGGCTTGGCTATGACCTTTGGGCTGACGCCGCTTTTCGCTTTGGCTTCGTCTTGGAAGGAGGCAGCGAGGAAGGGCTTGGCTTTTGGAGGAACCAGCATGGGTCTACCTGGCACCGCCGAACACCTGATTTCGGGTGCTTCCCGTGCTGGGGCCCTGAGCTCTGCCGCGGGGCCAGAGGCGGGACCCCCTGTTTTCTTTGGGGGGGGTGGTCTGCGGGGTGGCACAACGGGGCGCTGTGGCGGGGG